AACGGAGCATCGAAGGGACGCAAGACACTTAGGAAGTGTTTTGCTTCTCTTTGCAGCGCTGTTCCATAATTCTTAGAGTGGACAGTGACTTGAGAACTGAACAAGCACGCCGTGCTTTTAGTTTTATTGCATAAAGACTGAAAGGAACATCGTCAACGCGCTTATGACAACGTCTACGGTAATTCCCAGATATATACTTTTATGTATGTTTATTTCTTCGTAATAGTACTTACTTACATGCCGAGCTATTTCGTTAACCGCGATGGTGGCATGCGTTTCTTTAGAAGTCAGTGTTTGTTACGAACTTATAAAACAAAAATAAAAAAAGGAAGGAAGAGAAAGCGAAAAGACACCTTGAGAGAAGCTCGCAACTCGAACCAACCGACCTCCTTTGTATAAGGTTGATCAACATTAATGAACCGATGCATCCTGTTTTGAGACGACTGCAGGCAAACGACGTGTCGCAAGTTGACCACTAGTAGCATCAATATAGGTGCCGAACTCTTTTCGACAGCCACGACTTCCTTGCAGTGCAAGTATGCAGCAGCTGAGTTGTGACGTGGTCGTTTTAAGAACTCCGCACCTGTGCCGACGTGCAAACGAGCCGTGGCGCGTTGACGCATTTTTACGAGCGGATGCACACGCCTTGGTATATGTAGGCGGGTACATACGTGACTCGTTGGGGGATTTCGCGAGTGCTTGCGTGCGTGCCGAGTGACGCGTTGGGCATGCAAGCCAGCTTCACACTGAACGAAACACGGGTGTTAAACTGGCTGCTGTACGCAGAGGTAGAAAAAAACAGCCCTGGGGGAATACGGACGTGAAAGGGAGAGGTATACGCCAGTGTCGAAAGGTGTGCCAGCAGCACAGGTGGCGCAACAAGCTTTCAGTCCACGTGGTGTCATTGGAAGTTAATGTAAGCCGGTCGACGTTGGGTCACACTGCGTAACATAGGACAGTGTTGGCTCGTGTCATCGGGTGTGTCACAATTCTTGGATAACTGAAGACCTCGTGAATCAAACATTACTGCCTTCTTCCTTTCAGAGTGTACAGTGTGTGTAAGTGAGTGAGCGAGTGGTACCTTGCTTCATTCTTTCGGAACCATCTTCGAAAAAAGGTAACAAACGCCGCTAATGGACAGGAAGTTGATTGCATCTAGAAGGCACGCAGAAATCCAAAAACGTTTGGCAGGACCTTTACGGTTCGCCGAGGAGGAAAGTGAACTCCGGAGGAAGCCGCGCGCGACGCAGTTTGGGCCGAGTGCGCAGCCGGCGGAAGGGTCCGTTGACCCGCGCGTTTGTGGCGTCCCGCCGTCTTGACGCGTGAATAATCACCTGCCGCATTTGTACATCTCTCCCTCTGCTTCCTCGAAGACGCCCGATGGCTTTTGTCTTCGAGTAAGCCTAAGAGGAAGAGAGAAATGGAGGGAAACTCCATTTCGTCGTCGGAGACGAAGTGCGCGAAGGGGGTTTCACGAGTTATCCTTTCGCACGATAGGGTAGAAGGAGGGCGTATATAGATGCACCCACGTGGCAGTCTCCTCCGCGTCATTGCCTGCACGACGGCCTCTCCACATTGCACACACGTTGGCGGAGGAGCAGCACTGCGTGTACCGCCGGTCGGCTGCTGTCACTCGCTTGACGAACGCCGACGCGACATCAACTCGGCCGCGTCTACCTGCGTGGCTCATAGCTGCCGCTACTCCCACCATTCGCATCTGCCGCTGCAGGCGCCCCTTCCCTCCCCATTCCTGCCTTTCTTTCATCCTTATTCTTTCTCTCTCGTTCAGCAACCTGCACACGCGCTGTCCTGTTTTCAATCAAGCGGCAGAACGCAACGCTCGCTCGGCTGTTGTTGATGCCGACTCGTCGGTCTCAAGCTGAGCGACGACTCCCCGACGCTTGTCGATGGGCGTCGTGCGAATGAACGGCTGCTTGCTTGAGTGACTGCGTTCAAACGTAAAGCCCAAACTCCATAAGCGCGAAAATGCACGCGACAGCGACGAGCGACGCGACGTAGATCGGCGTCGCGCGATCAGTCGCTAGCGCAGGCAAACCTCATTCAGGCGACGGCTTCGGCGAGCGAATTCCACTGTTGCTGGCATGAGGCCGTCAACTCGCACCAAGAAAACCGCGTAGCGAGCGGTTTCCAATTAAAAAATAAGATATATTGTTGTGTAATGGAACGGAAAGTGTTTATTATTGCCTTGCAGCATTTTTTATATGCGCATGCGTAATAAACATAGCGTTATTTCTTGTTGCGCATACGTGACTCGGGCAGGGTCACGTGCACCTATGTAGTCTTCGTCTTTTCCGGTTTTTCGCTATTGGCTGCTTGAGCCCAGCACTTCCGGGCGATGAGCGACGGTTTCCAAATCTGGAGAACCGAGCGATCGCGCGAAAACGAGCACGCGACACGTCGCGCGAACGCCCTGTTTCGTCGCTCATAGCGTCGCTCGTCGCTGTCGCGTGCATTTTCGCGCTTATGGAGTTTGGGCTTTATGTACTGCGCGCGAGAGACGTACGGCTCTGGGGAGCGACGAGTTGCGCAGCCTCGCAAAGACTTAATTATGCGCGAAAACGTGGAGGGGTGGAGGGGGTAGCGATTCGTGTACGCGGAACATCTGCGCACGGCTTGTGGAACGCCGTCTGATTTTTTATTTTTTTTTTTGCTCTTATATCCTCTTTTCTTCTTGACGTTTTACCGAATCAGCAGCCGGCAGCTTGCTTCATTAGACTGTATTTCCAAACGCATCACTTTCGAGAGCCATCTCGTGATATCAGGCGTCTCATCTCCGGTTGCGCCTGATGACAGCTTTACATGATGCCTCGTGTGGCGGCGACAGTCAAGGCCATTTCGCCCGGCGCGTACACGAGTCTGATGGGAATATGTTGATGTATAGTCTCTCTCACCTTGAACCCATTATAGCTCTGGCACTATTTCGCTCCGCGTATGCCGAGCCGTTGTGTTCGTACTAACACTCTGTATACAGTTACAGCAGAACGCTTGACTTCGCTTCAGAGTCAGTCTCATGATGTTGGTTCGAGAGACATACCGCTCAATGGCTGACGGTGTCTAATGAGGGCCGGAGCGCATTAACGTTTTACAGGAACAAACTTGACGCCAATTTTCCGTGCTATTTAAGCGCTTTTACATGAAGAGTTATATGTAGAGAGACATGAAAGTGCAGGATGCGTATGTTATGCAATTGAGCCGTCATTGATAACATTGCAATGGCAAGGCAATATAAGTTAGGCGATTGATTGATTGATTTGTGGGGTTTAACGTCCCAAAACCACCATATGATTATGAGAGACGCCGTAGTGGAGGGCTCCGGAAATTTTGACTACCTGGGGTTCTTTAACGTGCACCCAAATCTGAGCACACGGGCATACAACATTTCCGCCTCCATCGGAAATGCAGCCGCCGCAGCCGGGATTCGATCCCGCGACCTGCGGGTCAGCAGCCGAGTACCTTAGCCACTAGACCACCGCGGCGGGGCATAAGTTAGGCGAAGGAATAAAGTAGTAATAGAGGTAAAGAAGGCAAGAATGATATAATGAAGCTGTGAGCATGAATGCAATACACGTAGTCTTCACTCGCATCATCCGGGTCGCCACCTTCAAGCGCTATAGCACAAGGAGCATCGTACTTCCACCACGGTAGATCAGTGGTTACCGTTCTCGGTTACTGACCCGAAGATCTCGGGCGCGATCCCCGGCCACATTTCGGAGATGGTAAAAATTTCCGGAGCCGTCCACTCGCACAAAAAAGAAGCGCGAGAGGCGCACCTTCCGCGACAAATCGATAAGGGATGATCCATAGAAAAACACTCATCATAAAACGAAATGTGTTTGATAATGTCGCGAACTAACGCGATCGATCTCCGGTTACTATAGAACAATGAGAGGCAGCATATGTGACGTCACATGAAAACTAATGCGCAGCATGCAGCTGTAGCGTATGAAGTGACTTGCGTTAGAAATTGTGACAAACCGGCTCCGCGAACCGGAACTGTCAGTTCATGTAGAGCAGACGTTAGGGCAACGTCTGACTGTTCGATAATGTAACACAGGGATCGCGAACGGATGCAAAGATGGCCAAAAGAGTAGGATTCCCAAATACACCATCAAAGAGCGCCGACCGAGCGTTTGTCAAATTCGTGTAGAACACGACCCGGCGCTTTTCTGCGTCTCAAGACATTAAAACGGCCGACGTTATGGAACCTCTGCACATTATACGTCGCGGTGCCGTATCCCAAGAGACGTCACGGGATTCTTTAACCACAAGTCGCAGCCTATTTCTGTTCTCGACTCCTCTTAAACAACCCGTTCACTCATTAAAAAGTGTCAGCTGCGCAGACCATTCGACGGAGCCCGATTAGCGAAGCCGAAGCTTCAGAAGTGCAAGATGATCGGCGTACATGCAGTACTAACACAGCGTCCGGAAATCGAGAATAGCGGGAGATGGAATGGATTCAACCATTCATTCTAGATGCGCGGCGCAGCTAAGGCTCTGCCAGCCACATCTTTCCTCTCGTTCTTTTTTTTTTTGATTGTTCTAAAATTTCAGCAGCACGGTAAGCAACAAGTTTGCACTTTCTGGAACCCAAGGACCAGGTCTCCAACATAGCGAATGGCTCTGCGCTTCCAGCACGGCTTGCGACTAATCGGACGGTAATGACGCACACACTAAAGTATGTGTACGTTCAAAAGGTTCCGCTATAAAACCGTTTTTTTTTTTAGTTCTAGAAAAGGAACTTACTACACGAAGTCTAAGATTACCACCGCGAGCTTTCCCGTGCACTCACTTGTGCGCGGAAATTACGAAAGAATCAGAATTTTTCGGCGATACCCGGTCCCGTAGACTCTTGCTGATGGGGGCCATGCATCTACGCGCTTAACTTCACTCTTCGATTGGACGCGCGCGCATACACGCTTTCAGGTGCGCATGCGCGAACTCCTCATGCCTACCCAAACATGCGTTCGCCGTGCACTCACCAGGAAGATGAAGTTGAAGGTGTGCAGCAGGCACTTGAGGAATCCGACACTGCAGCAGCCATCGTCCTTGGCTCCCCTGCGGTAGGTCATGGCCGCAGGAGCACCTCCTCCTCCCCCTGCTACGATCGGTCGCCCCGAGCGGTAGTGCCTTGAAGAAGAAGCAGAGGAGAGGCCGTACGGGGTGCCGTTAGTGAAGCGGTCCGACCTGTCAGCGGCGCTACGACCGCGGCCGCCAAACACGTTCTCGGCCGCCGGCGAAGCCATTCCTGCCGCCTAGAAGGCAGTCGGCGGCAGCAAAGGCCAGCCACGCCAGGCCACGCCGCTTAGCCGTACACCCTCTCCCTCCATCCGCACGAGTACGCTATACGCGCGCTCTCTCGGGGAATCAGCCTTGGTTCGAGATCGTCGACGGACGAGACGATGCTGCTCTTGCTACTGCCACACGCCGCGCTCCTAGCGCGATAAAGATGCGACGAGCAGCAGCGGCACACGCTGCTGACGCCGTCGTCACGAGGCCATGTATAAGACTAAAAGCGTAGCGCTTGATGTTCTCGGAGAGCCGCGCGGAAGTTTTCACTTCACGGAGTCCAGCGATTTGCTCTCTTGCCCTATAATTTTTGTTTAGTTTGGATGCGTCTAGTTGCTATTGGCAGATTGGTGGTCGGCCTGGGCCTTCTACGTACGTTGGTGCGGAAAGCAGATTCATTGATGCGGCTCGTGTGTTTCGTGCGAGCGGCAACGCACGATGCGATAATCGTTTCAAACGCTCTCGCCATCTAGTGGGCAGCGGCGCGAATAATCGGGAAGAGGATCGCTCACTGTGAACAGGGTTGAGATGAAAAAAAAAAAGAAAAAAAAGGTGAATGAACTCATTGGGCATCGAGACCTAGCACTTCGCACTTGATTTGCAAGTTGTTTTTTCTTCTTTTTAACGTGTGTACACTTGGGCATGGTCTTACGATAGTTCCCGTGGCGTCACCTATAAACTATAAGTTCTCAGTCGGTTACTTACTGGAGTATCTTTGCCGCGTGCGGGTTCGCACGCATAATTTTGAACTCTGTGTTTTCTGTGTTCATCGTTTGACATTAATAGTACGAATTATTTGTAAATAATAAATGACTGAAGTTATATGTGGGCACGGGAAGTATAACAGGTAGTTTAACAAAAGCAGTGTGCATCGTTCCAATCACATGATTACGCAATAGAAGGAGATAAACCAGAAAGGGGGCACGTGTCTGCAAAGACGCCCCTGTCCCCATGACGTAAGCGAACTTAAGCGAAGCCAAACATAGCCGAAAAAAAGGCATCAGATATTATCATGCGGATTAACCCTCCGATCTATTCACGTGCAGTTAGCGTCAAAAGTGTAGACACGACGAGAGTCACTAGAAAGCTGAATAAACCCACTGCTTAGAGAAGGGAAGCCTTGATTGATATGTGGGGTTTAACGTCCCAAAACCACCAATTGATTATGGGAGACGCCGTAGTGGAGGACTCCGGAATTTTCGACCACTTAGGGTTCTTTAACGTGCACCCAAATTTGAGCACGCGAGCCTACAACATTTCCGCCTCCATCGGAAATGCAGCCGCCGCAGCCGGGATTCGATCCCGCGACCTGCGGGTCAGCAGCCGAGTACCTTAGCCAATAGACCACCGCGGCAAGGCAGATGGGAAGCCTTGAACTTACATTTCTGGTCGAAATGCACAGCGCAAGAACGTGTGCTGTGCACTAGTCTGCGCGTCCTAGAGACTAGTCTGCGCGTGTCCAACAGCGTTGACGTCCGGCGTGCCATGTTTTTTGTTTTTTTTTTTTTGGGGGGGGGGGGGCACTGGATAAAGACATTTGCAAATTATCAGGAAAAATACCAGAACCTAGAGATTACCCACTGAAGCACGGCGGACAAGATCGGAGGAAGCCACTGACCCCCAATTTCTATTTCGGCGATCTCCACCAGAGGCGCTCGTCGGACCTCAGAAATAGAGTTACTTTCTATGCTACCTTTAAGTAAAGGTATCACATACAGTAACTTTATACTGAAAAAGGCCCACTCAACGTTTTGTCCGAGCCAGTGGTCTCGAAATATTTGGTGATGATTGTACAACCAGTCCATCGCGGTGGAGCATGTGGTGCTAGGCTTCTGACCCAACGGTCGCACATTCTATCCCGACTGCGGTGGTATATCATTTCGATGAAGTTCAAACACTGTTTAGGCCCGTGTACTGTGCGATGTCAGTGGATGTCAGTGGACACGGTGATCGAAATTTCCGGAGTCCTCCCTTTTCCTCACTACGATGTCTCTCGTCATCATATCCTGGTTTTCGGAAGCAAAACCCTAGCTATTGTTACTTTTATTGAAGAACTAGGCTGAGAAGGGAGGAAGCACTAAGAAACAGGCTGAAGGGCAGGGAGGTTAGACAGCTCACCGATCAGCTGGCTACCCTGCGCTGGGAAAAAGCAAGGTTGTTTCCAAGTTGATTATCAGCGCAGAGAAAGAAGTTCGAGTTAAACAACAGACCGACACGACACGGATGTCTTTACCCCAGAGACGGAAACTCGTGCACTAAAGCCGAGCGTTGGCACCTCCCGCACATCTACGGGCTCATCGTTCGTTCGCGTATAGGCATTCCATCGCTTCGGTGTCCTCTCGCGGCTGCCGTAGTCTTTCCTGCTCCCTAGCATTCTCTCGCTGAATCTGCCGCTGAAGTACTCAGTAAGGGCCGTTCCACGCGCTTCCCGCACAGCCGCAACGCACGTGCCGGGACCCCACCCACACCGCGCCACGCGCTAGCCGCACAGCCGCAACGCACGTGCCGGCACACCTGTCGCACCCAAACAGAGGGTGAAAAAGCGTCGCCGATTGACTTGCCCCCCCCCCCCCCCCCTGTTTGCGTGCGGCAGGAGTCCCGACACGTGCGTTGCGCCTGTGCGAGTAGCCCGCGGAACGGCCCTATAACATTCTTCAGCGAAGTTGAACCGTGCGGCCGCAACGCACGTTTCACGTCTGTCCTTTTCCACTAATTCGGACGGTTTAATAAACCATTCCTCAAGTACTAGTTACGTCTTTCTAGAAATCTAAATTGGTGTTTCCCACCCGTCTGTTCCCTTCTTCATTTGTTAGCGGGACAGCGGTGAGTATAGTGGGTTTTCCCCAATTACTGAGGCACAGACCCGTTCGTGATGATGACAGACTTTTTTTTTGTTTTTGTAGGCACTCTACACACTGAAGTTTTACAACGAATCAAACAGCTTCGCTCTTTCAAAAAAGAGAGATAATAAAAAAGGAGATTATTTCGACCCTGGAATGCTCCCAGAGAAATTGGGCCACATGTGTATTATTTTCTGGACATCAATGGAGCAATTATATATAACAGCCGCCGATTCACTGTGCGGAGCGCTCAATTTCTCAAGACAGATGGGCAGCGCGCGCAGGGGGCGCTGATGCGTTAAGGGAAAGCACGCGCGTGTGTTCGCGTGGTTTTTTTTGTTCCGCGTCAAAACAAGAAACTGCCGTTCATGTTGTAACGAAGAACAAGTTTCCGACTTAGCGGCAAAATAATTAGGAGCGATTACTCGGGCGAACGCGCCCGTTTGCATATGGTGTACTGTGGTGTACAGGCTTGATATCTATCCAGCTTATCTCCACTCGTTGCTTAATGGTTTCACTGCACAGTACATTGCTATTATTTTTTCTTTTGTTATTCCTCTATGTAACTGAGCCTCCCCGAATCTGCAAGCAATGCAGATTTAGGGCAGGGTTCTCCAATACGCGGGTCGCATGCGGCCCGCGAAATGTTTGTGATTGCTAATTATTACTTTCATTATTTACTCGCCTGTGGAGATTAATAAAGGCCTCACCAGACTACGCGCTGCAACGCGTCGGCGTGTGGCCTTTTGACGCGGCGCCGCGCCCTCTCCCTACAAAGAGAGAGGGCGCGCAACTATGCGAAGCTGCACTTCTCTCTCTCTCCTCTCTCACTTTCTATAAGAATAGGACGCAGCGCCGCGTCCAAGACTCATGGCGCTGACGGGCTGCAACGCGTACATGTGGTCAGGCCTTAACGCTTGTTCCCGAAAGCTGCAAGGACGGAACTGGTTTCGAGCATGTCTTTTCGAGAGGCAACCCATGGGGTCTTCATGTATTGAAACATTATTGTGGAACAAAATATCTATATTTCAAAATATCTACATTTCAGAAGTATCTATATTTTAGTCGAGATATGTATCTCGAATCCTGGGGCCAAATAATTTTCTGAAGTGGTCTGTATACTAGATATTAGAAAAGGACTTTTTCAATGGTGTAGAATTGGATGCAAGAGGTGCGGCAACGCTTAGTGAAATTGTCATTGTATCAGAAATGTGTGCTCACAGTAGATCAAAAGCTGCTATAACGACTGTGAATCCACTGTGCTGCGCCGTTAATGTAAGTATGCACAACTTGTTTCTGTCCCAATCGTCATCCTTCATCGTTTCTTTTTAAATGCGAAGCATTTCTTAGCGCACTTCCGCAGCTATTAGCGCATCTATCTATCTATCTATCTATCTATCTATCTATCTATCTATCTATCTATCTATCTATCTATCTATCTATCTATCTATCTATCTATCTGTCTGTCTGTCTGTCTGTCTGTCTGTCTGTCTGTCTGTCTGTCTGTCTGTCTGTCTGTCTGTCTGTCTGTCTGTCTGTCTGTCTGGCCACCTACGACTTTTAGGTCTCCAGGCCGTTTCCATAATGGTATCGATACCAAACTTGGTATGGCATAATATGACTGTATGAGGAAGATATCTGACTAGTCATAACATGAAAATCATGACATGTATGTCATGAATGTCATGATTTACATTTTATGGTCCTGCAGCTCTTGCGGTGGTTTCCTTCACATGTTGCAAAACTGGTATGGTATAGCATTATTGCATGGCGAACACAAGCAACAGACCCTAACATGAAAATCATGACATGCATGTCATGTAACAACATGACTACATGCCACGCTCATGATGCACTCGCGGCCGGTTCGCTAGCTCCACATATACCAAATTTGGTATTACGTGCCATGAATAGACGACGAACGTAAATGACAGGTCCAAACATGGTAGTCGTGACATGGAATTCATGTAACGTATAATTTACCTCCCCCTCGTAACGTTGTGCTGATTTCAAAGTGATATATCAAGCTTCCACATTCCTGCTTCACATATCATCGATTCTCACTGTACGTGGAATCTGCCAATTTTTTTTTCTTTGTCCCTATTCTCTTGTGAATAGACTAGAGCGAACTAGCTCAGACTGAGCTCTCTGCCTTCTAATAAATCGTCTCCCTCTTCTCCTCTCCTTCGTCATACTATCCCGGCTTTCGTGGGACTGCATTGTCACTGCAGCGCGCTGGCTGAGACGAGTTTGAAACTTCTGTTTTGGAGAACAAAAGTGCTT